CCCGCTGAATTTTTAACAGCTAAGCCACATGCCTGGCGTACTTTGTTCAGCAATGCCCTAGAGGCATTACGTTTGACACCCTTGGAATTCAGACCCTGCAGCCTCAGGAGAGGTGGGGCGACGTTTTGGTTCAACCAACACGGATCGTTCGATCGACTGCTTGTCCAGGGGCGGTGGGCCGCCTCCAAAACCGCCCGTATATACCTCAACGACGGGTTAGCGCAACTGGCAGATATGACACTCCCTAATTCGTCACTGCATGTTTATGTAAAGTTGTTCCGCTCTACCCCAATGCTTGAGCCTGGGAAGTCGTGTACGCTTCCCAGGACAGGGGGACGTGGAAAACGCACAGTTCGAAAATGAGAGTGGGGAGTCTTTTTGCGTTTTTCGTCTCATAAACCTCTAAGATAGAGTGCTCTGGAGGTTTCCTCTCTGAAGCACTCGAGCCTGGGCATGCACCGGTTTGGCGGTGTCATGTTCAGGGGGTGTAGGGGGGCCCCCCGCCTCTCCTGGTTTGGCGGAGGGGACGGGGGGTCGGGGCCCCGAGAGGCAGAATAGTCGAGCATGTTATGTCGAGGTTTGACCAACTCTCTGCAACGCGTGAAAAGAAGGCGTGTGGTTGTGTTTGTTCTTATGACCACATGAGTAAACACAACATTTTCCGCCTTTTCACCGTAGCATTGGGCTCGAACGGCCCTCCCTTCCCTCCCTTATGCGGAGGTTCGAAAATGAGAGTGGGGAGTCTTTTTGCGTTTTTCGTCTCATAAACCTCTAAGATAGAGTGCTCTGGAGGTTTCCTCTCTGAAGCACTCGAGCCTGGGCATGCACCGGTTTGGCGGTGTCATGTTCAGGGGGTGTAGGGGGGCCCCCCGCCTCTCCTGGTTTGGCGGAGGGGACGGGGGGTCGGGGCCCCGAGAGGCAGAATAGTCGAGCATGTTATGTCGAAGTTTGACCAACTCTCTGCAACGCGTGAAAAGAAGGCGTGTGGTTGTGTTAGAATATACACGTGTCTGGAGGGCAGGATGTATGCCACGCCCTGACTAATTGGACATTGTCGTTGTATCTATTTGTCAACCTTCGCCCCCTATCATTTCGCTGCATGCATTGGAGCCAGAACCTTGCGCTTACGGCATGATCATATTTTTGTAATGTGCGGCGGACCCAATCCCCAGCTGGACTGAGATAGCCACTTCTTTCATGCTAGCGAATGGTGTACATTTGCCAATACGTCTTCCTCACAAGGGGAAGAATGAACCATCCTCCCCCCCTCAGGGATGTCTGCATTCTGCGGTTTGTTGTTCCATCGCTTCAATCTCAGCCTAAGCCAAAAATTGGGATTCAGTAGGTAATTATTAGTAAAACATATTGAATTCTTGCCTGCCAATCCTCCCTAATCCTTAGATCATCATGAAACTAGAAGAATATGTTCGTGCTTTGGATTGCAGCCTTCCGTTTCATATCAACGAAGTGATACATATCCCGAGTGCAGTGCCATCTAGTGCTTGCGGTGAACTCCTATTCCAGACACGATGTAGCATTGAGGACAAGGTGTTGCCTTCGTATGGGGCGTCCACTGTCTAGCCTTGATGTACCCGCCCTGCCCGTTTGCAACGTGTGTGACACCAAATTCCCATTGCGACCTGCGTGCGCGTGAATTACACCCAGCGCGGTACTGCAATTGGTATGTTTATGTACGGTCTTTGCACATGTGACCTGTTATTTTTCATATTTTTTGTTCTTTTGTAGACTGTAGACTTTGACAACCACTACCGAAAGGGCAAGTGGCGTGTAGCGTGTTGATCTTATGCTCAAACCCGAGTTCCTACGAGCATGGTAGGCGAAACGAAACCCCTTCAGTGGATCACTGCAGCATGAAGTCTTGACCAAAAACAGTTGCATGAGCATTAAGTGAGTCCCTATGATGTTTCCTGCTTTTCAAACAGATGTGCCATTTCCAACATGCCAAGTCTTCCAAACCTTTCTGAGAAGCTTTGGATCACCTCTCCAGCGCTCTGGCCAGTCGCTGTTGCTGTTGTTGGCCCTGCACAAGAGCGGGTTCGACCGGACGGCTACCGCCATTGGCCTTCCACATCCACTCTATGATGAGGCCCACTTCACGATCGGATTCGCTGAACTTGCCAGAGGGACATCAGGTGTGTCATTGTTTCAACGTTGGCCGGCTACAATTGTCAAGAGTGCATTTGCTGGACAGAGCCAAGTAGGATGCAGCGCTTTTGGTTTGTCATATATGCAGACGGCCTTCCTTTTTTATTTTAATCGGAGAACTGTTTCATTCTTTGCCACATTGTTAAGGTGTTTCTGGTTCATTTACTGTATATGTTTGCATTTGCTTTTGCTTCTGCGGTTTGCACTTTTCCCTTCTGCCTTTCTCGTTTTGTTATTGTGTGAGCATGTATCCTTTTGGCGTTTTATAGCTTTGCTGCTTTCCTTTAGTACTCTTGCGAGTTAAGGTTCCGTGCTTTTTGCCTTTTCTTTGTCTTGTTTTCTGCCTTTGCTTGTGCGCTCCGCATTTGCTTTAGTGCAATTATATATATAATTGCATATGTTCGTGCTACAAGCCCTTCTTGTTGTAAAAGCCAGCAGGCTCACAACATGAAACTAATGTGCAAGGGGAAATTCCGGAGGTGATCATTGATCTCCCGAATTTGTTACAACCAACCAGCGTTCAACTAAAGTAACCGGGGAAAGATTGTCACCAAAAGTGACCGCTCCACGTGGAGGCTGCCAAGCGCTTGATAAAGGTGCGGGGGCTGGCAAAAGGTTTAGCTCGTTCATGAGGCACTGTGAAATAAAACACATGTGAGTCAGACACAAGTGTTATTGTGGGAGTGGTTCTCATTTCGTTGGACAATCTCCCTAACTACTTTGCTTTTACCGGCTGGACCTGCTTATCTCAACTTTTGGAGTGGGTGTCCGTTGCTTATCTCAACTTTTGGAGTGGGTGTCCGTACACTGTCGGCTTGCTCATAGTCCATAATGCAAGTGCCAAACAGAACCTGGTACTGGGCCCTGCTTATGGATGCAATCTACAAGTGCCATGCAACAAGAATTGAAGGTTCTTTGCCGTGATGCCTGTGGTCGAATCAGTGCTGCCCCTATGGAGTCGCTCTCGCGACCGGTGCTGGCACTGGTGCGGAGAACTCAGTTGGAGATGCAATGTTGGCCCATGAGGTGAGCAGGTGGACTGGACACATACACGACGAGGCTTACCTGAAAGTTTTTGAACTACAGTATATATTCTAGAATACGCTATGACCATAATCTGTGGCTTTTTGATTGGAGTGTATCCTCCATCAATATTTCGATCAAGCCGGTCTGAGGCAGAGCTTCGGGGGATGCATCGTCCTGCACTGCATGCTTTGACGGAGCGTCTCGGGTGCCCCACCTTATTGTGTTTCTGGAAGGAAAGTGTTTCAAGTTTCAATTTGGCTATATAGTCTCCACATCAAAGAGCTTTTTTGTGCGCACATAATCTATGTGATCTTTATGTTGTAATTCTATATTACTGTAGACATTATTATATATGCACACATAACTATTATACTACATTCTGATGCCATTTCTTCACAGCTGCGGGAGCACTTGTGAAAAAACTTTTTGTTGATCCTTGGGACCATGTGCATCAAATGAATCGTAGGGATGAAGCAAACTGGAGGTCAGGGCGACTTCTTTCGCTCTCTCCGACAGCATTCGTCTCCCTGGTTTATGCACATCGTTCAGCCCTCAGTTGTCCAGAGAAGTTATGTAATGGGTGGGGTGAGGGAATGTGGCCGCTAGTAGGAGGCCATCGCTAGTAGGTTGGAGGCCATCGCTATTAGATTCCTTTTGCTACTAGGTTGCCGCTGCCCACACTTTTCATGGACTTTGCACTCTCTTGGCTGCTTGCAGGGATGGTCCGTGGGCCCGTACCAGCGGAGAAGCTCCGGATGCCTTTGTGCTTGGCCTTTGGCGCCTTACTGCACAAAATGACTCCCAAGCAGGTGCCTTTTTGTTATTGTTTTAAGGGCATGTGTCAGATGTCAAGATGGGCTTAATCAAACTGAGCATTTGCCATTTCTATGAACTTGGCCTGGAATGCCTCGAAGGTTGCGAGTTGCATTGAGAGCTTGAAGGCATACAGCTACAAGGCTAGCGATTGGACACTCTCGACCAGCTGCATTCAGACCTTGAGCCGCAAAACTTGCAAGCACAGTTTCTGCAGCTCGAGCACGACAACCGCAGGCATATCGCCATGTCTTCAATGCAGCGTATGAGAGGTTGGCAAGAGCATTGGAGGCGCAAGTAGAAGGCAAGAAGGCTTTTTGTGCCAGGGTTTTGAAATTTTGCTGTCTACTGGTCTGAGCTATTCCTCCACGGACAATAATGTTGGATCCTGATTAGTAAATAGGTCCTCTATAATACTAATTTTTTCCAAATTTATTCAGACCCCCCTTTTTGAAAAATGGTACCTCTATAATGCTAAATCTTTTTTGGGCCCTAAATTTCTAAATTGGAAACCCAATTAATAAGGTTTTGAATTCCTTCTGAGGCCAATGATTATGCTTCATTAGCTGATATAGCTTTCTCTAGGTTTCTTCAAAACTGCCAGCTGACCAAAACCACCAATTCCCCAATTAAACCCTCTATAAAACATTGCTCCTAAACAAATTTTCAAGGTAGTAGACCAGGAAGGCACCTGATCC